ATATAACATTATACATGTGTACATTCACATTTAATTCACATCATTTTACACTCATATAAAATGTATAAGGAGGGTATGTCCAATTATTTTCAGTTTATAGTAAAAACGAAAAACCTAAATTCTACAGCATTCCAATTAAATTTTTTTTTCTTTAACTTTGATTTAGTTTACATTTGAAATGACTAAGGCAAAAAAGTTGATTTTGTGTACCCACTTTAAAAAATATTAACATGCTGGCACCAGAAATTAGATTATGTTATATGATCATTGAGTTGTTTATGCATATTAGATTTGGGCAGACAAACTGGTATATATGTATGTATATCATTTTTTAAGGTACCTCTATACCTAAAATTTTGAATTTCATTTTGTAAATAAAAAAGAATATATTAAAATTTAAAGCGTCTAAAATTGCTTTTTTTTGTATTACTGTTTTAAAATGAGAGAAAATGTCTACCATGCCTATACATTTTAGGTGCATGTATATAAATATGGATACCAAGCATGTCTATATCATATAGAAAGGATTAATGTTGCATTACGCATAAAGTAGCAAAAAGAACCAAAAAGTAAAAAATACATAAAAAATCCCTAAAAAAAATTAAGGATTTTTAAAAAAATTTTTTTTGGAGATTTTTTGTGGCCCTTTTTTTTAAATTAGGAAGAAATCTTTAAGAAGCCTTTGAGTTTTGCATGTTCAAATATAACAAAGAAAAACACAGTCCGGCAACAAAGAAAAAAAATCATTCGTAGTTTTTATTTTTTTCTGTTGATCTCATAAAATTAACTGAAGCAAATAAGTTTTTTTTTTCTGTGTAAAGATGAAGCTGAACTCATAATAATTTTTTTCTTTGGTGTTCGTTTTTTTTTCTTTCACTTTTTGACTTTAAATATTTTGCATTGTTTATTGGTTTTTTTTTTTTTTGGTAAATTTTATTTTTTTTTTTAATATCCTTAAAAAGGAATACATATTTATAATATAGAATAACATAAGAAAGACTAAAAAAAGAGAAAAAAAATTTTTTGCGCATTCTGTATGGCATAAAGAAAAATCGCCGAAGCGAACTTAAACTCTGATTGAATCAAGAAACCAAAGGAATAAACAGCAACAAAAAAACACATTAATTTTTTTTTTTTTATATTTTGGTTGTGTATAAATCTCAGGTCCTCCTGATTTAGTCTCTTAACTCATAAAAAATTCATGGCGGTTAATTTTTTACATTTTTTAACGTAATTTCTTTTTTTTTCTTCACTAACTCATTCAGTCACTTTTATTGTTGCTTTTGCTTAGTTTATTTTTAGAATTTATTTTCTTGAAAAGAAAAAAATTATGTGTCGAAAGAAATTTTATGTTGAAATCAATAAAAAAATAAGCAACAAAAAAAAAATTAAAATAACACGTGAAATGATTATTATTTTAATTTTCTTTTATCTACCACTTATGGTGAATTTAAATGTGGTCAATTTTATAATTTAAATAATATGCGGGCAGTACTGCCCCTTTAATCTGCACATTAAACTTACATCGAATTTAGAGAAAATCAAAGAACATCCGGTTTGCTTAATAGTGTAAGCCCGGCAGTCTGACATTTCAATATTTATCACAATAAAATACGATCACTGGTAAGGTTATTTAGCATCACTTTTCGATTATTGTTAGTAACTTAAAATCTATCCTTTTTAGATTATTTCGGCCTCGCAAATTGCCCGGAAGGGGGGGGGGGGGGGCACACAATAGATTCTTATACGTGGTCGTATAGGATTGTTCCCCCGTTGTACAAATCTACAATCTACATTCTAGGCTCAACAACAAAAATTGCCCTGAAATTTCCTGTTTAATTTCTGTTGATATTGTTATAATGTAATTCAAGTAGTGTATTTATATACGTACGCGTAATCATGTTGATAATAGCGCAACAAAAGTAGTAAAACAGAGCTCTAAAAACCAAACATTCTTAAACAGTAAACTTAGCTCTAAAAACCAAACATTCAAATAAAATAATAATTGACACAACGGTTATGCAAATTTTAAATTTCTTCCTTTTTCAATCTAATATACTTACATAACAATATTTGTAATTTCTGCTCTCATTATGCAGTATCTATGCATTTTGTTAAGAGCTCGATTTAACATAACTACTTGTTCTCTACAACAACTTCAATTTTAAATCTTATGTTTTTCCAATTATTTAATTAAATGGAATAAAATTTACCATTATTTTTAATGTCAGACTTTTTTTCTTAGTTTTCTAAACTGAATCATGAGACAGATCGCGTTATTGTCATTTGCTTTTTATAAAAACTTAAGGTATACTGTAAATGGTGTTTGTTGGTTGTTTTTAAAAATATTTTTGTCCTTTTTAATCGAAAAAATTTTTTACGAGTTGCTATTTCGAATCAGTACTTGTTCCAAAAAGGATGAAAAAAGAATTTTGAATTTAAATTTTTTTTTCGAATTTTTTTTTGGTTTTTGGAAGATACAAATATTTTTTTTTTAAAGAAGTACAAGAAAATTGCTTTTAAGGTGATGAAAGAATAAATTTTTTTGATATTTGAAATTTTTTTTAAATCATAATTTTCCGAACTTTTTTTTCTTACTTATAGTGAATCAAATAATTTTGTGTGAGAGGAACAAAATATTTCGAGTATACGATGGAACACGAACTTTGTTAAACTTACAAGCAGAATTAAAATTCTTTAACAAATTTTTAAGTTGTCTAGGTAAAATAATATTGTGACGGATGTAATGCTGCGTTAATTAGAAGCATATCATTATACATATTACATTCATATCCTATGAGCGGAAAGTTAATAATAGGTAATTAATACCAAGATAAGGATAATTATTTTCTCTTCATTTTTTAATTCTTTTTAAGCCAATTTATAAAAATTATTGTACATTCATACCCTAAAATCAGAATTGTAATAATATAGTATTCATGCAGAATCCAACTTACAAATGTCAATTGGTGAATTGTGTATCAATACGGTATTATTACAATTCCCATGTCAGGGAAAGCTAAATGTGTACTTGGTTATTACTAATCATAAAGTAATTTGTAATTCTATAAAATATACTTAATTTGCTTCCTCTTACTTGTTTGCTTTAATTAATTTTATAAATTAATTGAAATGATGGAAACAATCGCCAGAAATGAAATGAAATTGAAAACCCGTATATAATTTGTTATAAGTACTCTGCACGAAAATAATTAAAAGTTGCTCTTTAATTTTCTTTGTATTATCTCATCTTAATTTTTCTTCAATTCGATAACATTAAGTATTTAATTATAAATTTGATTATTATGGTACCAGAACTCTTTTTGAAATTATTTTTGTTGCAAAACATTTTCCTAGTAAACTAATGAAGTCATGTTGGAAATTTATTCTTTCATCACTACTATTTTATATAAGCATAATATAATTATTTATAAATAATAATTATTAAAATGCAAACTAGAAAGCGCACACAATCAATTATATAGTAAGTGGGTATATAATTTACGATAATAATTTACGACGAAGAAAAATTAAAAAAGTGAGAACAAAATGATTGTCTATATTAAATAACTCCAATTTGTTGTTTACATATTTTAATTTTGCAGACAGAATAATTTTATTCTACACACAAGTCAATTTATTTTTGTTATATGAATCTACTTGTATACTTTAAAACTGTATTTCCGGTCACTTGTCCAGAAGGTAATGTGAATTGTTAATGTAAATATTTGACATTATTTTAAATGATATTTGAAAAAGAATAACATGATTTGTTCTTTCTTCTCTAACACACTACCTTCTCATGATATGAAATGTTATTTAAACAATTAAGTATTATACATACATCTACTTAATTACGTAAAAATATTAATTATTATGTACTTAACTCCATAATCATTACTTATTAATTAATTATTATGAGTTATGTAAAATGTAAGAGTCTTTTTGAGTTTTAACATTTGTTAAAACTCAAAAAGTGTTCGAAATATCAAAGATTTTTAACATTATTTTCATATATGTATAACGTTCAATTGTTCTTCTATTGAATAAGAGAGCAAACTAGTAGAACTACGAGTACATACCAAATTTTTTCACACATTAAATCAAATAGGTAAAAATAGTTTTAATCTGAATAATCTAATTAAGAAGATTAAATAAATTATGCTTGAAAATTATGATTGAGAATTAATCCATAATATATTGGTCCTATTCAATAATATATAGCTACACGTTCACATACATATCCCAATTTTCATAAACGGTCAGACATATTCTATTGTTGTTTTATCAGCAATTTACGAGTACCCCAATGTATTACATATTTTTGACATTAATGACTATTACGAAAAATGAAAATTTAAAATTGGAGAAAATTACTTAAATAAATCCAAAGTTCCGGTTACAATTGTTAACATTATTGTCACTTATATCGAATAAAGTAACCTGATTACTCTTTAGTATTTACGTGTTTTTATTTGTTTTTAAGAATTCATACAGATTTGTAAATATAAACTAATACTTATACAAATTGTTATTCAAATTATGTTGTGACTACATGTGTTTTACATAATAATATGCTTTTTACATAAAACAAGGAAACCATTTTATCGATTCAAAAAAGGAAAAATTTATGCAAGTTTATTGATATATTCTATGTTGCCTAAAATGTCTGAAGAGGATTTCGTGCGTTTCTAATTTTAGATTTATGTTACGCAACAAGTATTGAACAAGTAGGCAAGTGTGGTGTTTATTGATTCGAATTAATTTTCAAAAAAAAATAGATAAAAATGTTATTACGGTTTATTATATTTTAACACGCATTAAATTATAGAAAAATAAAGTTTTTATGTATATCAAGTACACATATGTTATCACAGAACATATAAACAACTAAATTTTTAGAACGTATGAGAATGGCTAGATCTTGTAAATTATTCAAAGGGCTGATTTCAAACTATTAAACAAATTAAAAAAAAAATTGAAAAATAAAATTTCTTGACTTACCTTCTAATAACGGGCAATGGAATAGTAAATCTTCCATCGTTAACAACAGTTGAAGCAGCTGCCATTGGAACCGCCGATATTATTGGTGTAGTGATCATTGATTGCGGTGGAGGTGGACCACCAGGATTGAAATGTGGTGGCGGTTGTGGTGGCATAATAGGCCCAGGTGGAGGTGGTGGTGGTGATGTTGGATGATGTGGCGGTGGAGGAATTGATAAAGCACCATAAGGTGGTGGAAAATGACTATGTAATATATCAGGTAACATAGGTCTTATTAAATTTGGATTACCAGGCGGACCAATACCACCGGGAACACCACCGCCCGGCGGTCCATAATGCATAGGAGGCGGATGGGGCGGCGGATGATTTGGTGGTGGTTGTAACATATGCGGTGGCGGATGATGCATATGATTATTACGACGACGTTCACGTCTTTCACGTCGACGTTGTTCACGTGCAATTAAGGCATCTGTTTGGTTAGGATTAATACCAATACCGTTATTTACACCAATATTATTAAAAATTGGTGTTTGTATTTGTGACGTAGCATTAATATTCCGATTTCCTGAACTTTTTTTCCTAGATGGTGTCGTTACTGCTTGTGTCGTATTTGTATTTGTCGAGGCAGCTGCTGCTGATATAATATTATCAAGTGGAATGTCATCAGTTTGACATTCGGTTGATGTGAATGTACGTTGTACAGGACGATGTTGTTGATCTTGAATTATATTATGTGCGGTTGTTGTTGTAGTATTCGTTGACAAAAATGATCCATTTTGTTCGTTTGCATTTATTTTATCATCATTAATATTAGAATTATTAAGAACACCAATTTTGGTTTCACTTTTATTATTAATATCATTATTTAAATTTTTTATTGCATTATGGCTTATATTTATTATACTATTTTTATTCAAATCATTTAAATTATCATTATTATTACTATTATGACTTGATGTTGACGAAGATTTTGCAATCACATTATTTACATTATCAATATTTGTTGATGTCGAAGCTGTAGCTGTGTTTAAATTTTTACTTAAGACATTATGATTTTGAACAATATTAACATCACTATTTTTTGATAACTGATTATTGCTACTATTATTAGTATTATTATTATAACTATTTATACCACTTCCAATATAATTATTATTATCACTACCAGAAATAGCACAAATACTATTGATTTGACATGAACTATTACTAATATTTTTATTATTTAAATTATTTACAGAATTAATATTTGAAATTGAATTAGGCACTGAACTACTATTATTACTATAACAATTAACAACAGAAATCCCACTATTAGATGGAATGCTTGTTATATTTGAACCAGTAGCTACATTTTGTGAAATTGTTGTTCCAGAATTAATTATTGTGGTTAAACTGCAATTATTTTTTATAATATTGTCACTTGGTAACGGTAGTTTTTTTATCGGCAAATTATTAAAATTAGATAAAATTTGGTTATTAGAAGCTCCAAAAATTTGAGGAGGTTCTCTTACGTTTGTTTGAAGAATGGTATTAATTCCAGCTACTTGATTGACTTGAATTGTTAAACTCGGTTCTGTTGAAGCTACTGTTGAAAGTTGAGTTGATGATGGTGTTGTTGTATTAGATGAATATATGGCACCATTATTAATCAGTGTTGGCGCTATTTTTGTTGAGTTATTACTAATATTTGGTAAAAATAGATTTGTAGTAGTGCAGTTACTATTGTTAATATTATTGTTAAAATTATTAATTCCTTGCGATATTGGCTGTTGATTAACTTGTAGACCTAATGTGGTTGATGATGAAACACCAACGTTATCAATTTGGGGTTCTATTGTATTACGATTTAGTTCATTTGTTGTTGATAGTAAATTACTACTACTTAAATTATTAATTCCAATTGAAGTTTGAGTATTAAATCCATTAATAATTCCTGCTGTTAAATTATGATTACTATTATCGAAACCAGAATCGGAAGATGTTGTTATCAAAGGATTCGAAGCTGGTATGTTTAAACGCATTGTTGTTTGATCCAACAACACTCGAGAGGTTTTTGTAAAAGAATTTTGTTCGTCATTAAATCTAACACAACTTTTATTTAAATTATTTCTTTTATTATCATTAAAATCACATTCTTCATCATCATCACTATCATCACTTTCATAATTTTTTATAAATAAATTTTGATTTATAATATTATTGTTGTAACTATTGCCACTACTACCACTATTACTACTACTACTACTGCTGCTGTTACCACTATTAGTGTTGCAGTTAGTATTAAATTGGAACGAGTTTCGAATATTACTTTCACCAAATTGAAATTCAATCGATCGTAAATAAGGAATTGATGAAATTACGGAATTATTAAAACCACTATCGTTATTAATATTTTTAATATTACTGTTATGTGCTAAACTGGAATTTTGTGATGAAGAATAATTATCATAATAATTTCTATTTAATGTTGAATCACAATTATCATTATGATGAGTATTATAAGCACCAATAGATGTTTCAGTCGATTGTAGTAACCGATTTTTGTTTTTACCGAAAAACCGTTTAATTTGCTGAGACTGATTAAACAAAATTTTTAACGACGACGATAAATCACGTACCGTTTCTATTGATAATATATTATTACCACGATTACGTTTTACCGTATCAAATTCATTTATTAGTTCCAATTGTTGTTGTAAATTTGATGAAACACGCGTTAATTCAACGTTCTTAGGACCGTCCGTTTTAAAATCTCTCCTCGTACTAACCGTTAAATCAGTTTGAGATGCGCGTTCAACAAAAATTGTACTACAATTATAATCATACATTTGTGGTGTTGCAAGTGTAGAGGTGGCAACATTTGTTGCTGAATTTCCCCTATTTTTATTTAAGGTTCTCCTTTCAACTGATTCAAAATATTGCTCTGGCGACAATATTATTTCTCTTGCTTTTGTTTTACTCGTAGCAGAACTTATAATTGTGGTTTTTAAACTCTCATTTGTATAACTAAAATCATTCCGATCATTACCATTCGATTTCATGTTGTTGCTCTGACTGCAAATAGGTTTACTGACCTTTCTTTTTTCTGGTTTTGTTTCTTCATTTTTGTTATTACTATTTTGAGGTTTTTCTTTTTGTAGTTTACATTGCAGCAAGCTCTCTTTTTCATTGTGGTTCGTTTTTTGTTCATTTCTACTATCATTGTTTTTAGCGATCTTGTCGGAAATGGTGCTTGTTAAAACATGTTTATTGTGATTTAATTTTATTGTTGCTAATGTGTTTTGATTTTCTATAGTAATATCTTTTTGTTGTAAAAGTTTATTGTAATTTTCGTATATATTTTGAAGTTGTTGCTTTTCAAGGCATTCTCTCTGTAGCTGTGACTCATCATTGTTATGTTTAGTTTTCGTTTTTGCATAAATATTGGTTTTTTCTTCTTCTGATACTTCGGAATCACCTGAAAAAATTTTGTAGCTGTCGTTAGCTATATTAAAGTTGTTTAACTGGTACTGAAGCTCTTTTTGCTGTTGTTTAGATTGATGCTGAGAAACTTGAAGATTAGGATCATTTCTGCTTTGATTTTGAATTTTATTCACATTACATTTGTTATTATTTATATTTTCGTTATGGTTAGTATTTATTAGTTGAACTGTAATATCACTATTATAATTTCTTAAAGTATTTACATTAGTTTTATGGAACTGCGTAGATTTTTCTTTTATTCCTTTGATATTTTCGTAAACGAAATTTTCTTTAATAGCTAAGTAATCATTTTGATCATCATTATCACTGTCATTCTCATAATTATTAGTTTCAGATATAGAAAAATTATTGTACTTTCCATTCATATTTATTTCATTTTCGGTTTGATGACTTGACGATGCTATTTCTTTGATATTATTAGTTGGAGAAACGTTTGAATTGGCATGTCTCGTAAAAGTTTTTGACAATGATGTTGTGTTTACATTTGTAATTGGTATTTTAGTTTCTAACATAGAATCGTTATCATTATGACTATTATTATTTGTTAAAAAATTACTCTTTGAGAAATTTATTTGTTTTTGTGGGCTATTATTAAAGTGAATATTGTTTGATTGTAGGATTATTGGCAGTGAGTATTTTTGTTGTTCTTCATGCTTGTTTTTTATCTAAAAAATTAAAAGAAAAGATTTATTAAATATCATATTTATATATGTATATAAATACAGAGTGAGTAATTTACTAATATTCACATTTAATATTTAAATTTAAAATAAAGTAAAAACTTTCGCTTCTAGTTCAAGTAAAATTTAAGTATTCAATTGTATTGAAGAATTTGACGAATGCTATGTTTAGAAATTTAAATTTTCAGTACGTATTAACTATTAAATTCTTAAACGGTTTAAATTAAAAAATTTAGCGAGTGCCAATTTATTTGAAACATTTTATTGTTTTTAAATTAAGAGTGCTCAGTACTATTCTTCAAAATTACCAAAACCAGTTTCAATTAAACAATAGTTGGGAACAGGAGCCTTTCAAGATATTTTTTTATTTTAATTTGTCTGCAAAGGTTCCGACCGTCGGATTCGAAATTGAAATTTAAAAAATTCAGTTTAAATGGGACTCAGGACTAATGCCTAAGAACATAAACTACTAATAATTAACTCATTTGGATTAGGAGCTTTATTGCCGATTAAATTTATGTAGCTGAAGCATAAAGTAGAAGGACGAAATTCTGATTGCACATCCTCTCTTTAATCAGGGATGATTTAACTAGATTAAATATTTTTTTATTATTTTTATCGCGCATATTACCTTTTTAAATTTATAATACTTTATATGACCTTTTAAAATTTTATAATACGATTTGAATAATTACATTTCGATTATCGTAACAGTTTTCCAATTTTAGCAAAATGAAAAATTTTACCTATTCTTTTCTTATTACATATGTATTACATTTTAAGATTGCGTTTTAATTTTTTTAATATTTCAAGCGGTTTTGAAACTCATATTTCCATTTTCGCTTTTTTGCGTAATTTATAAGCAAATATTATGCACTATGAAAAGAAGATCTATGAAATTCATGAATTATTTTTTCTTTTTCTTTGGTTTGTTGTTTCATTGCACTATTTTACATTTCATTTTGCTTTTTATGAATAATTTGCGCAAAAATATATTTATTTTAACGCGGTAATGATAGCAATTAAACTGATTATGAATACGGGCTTTTTTATAATTATGTTACTGTTTTATATGTTATGTTGGTAAATATTTGAACATAAATGAAGAAAGAAAAATTGAATTTCATTAATTCAATTCAATTCAAAAAAAAAAATACGCTTTTTAAATATATGTAGATAATTAAAGCGAAAAAATCGTATATGGTGTACTTTGTTATGCAATTGATTTGTTATACAATTTTTTCTCATTATAATGTACAAAACAGTGCACATAATTACTATTTTTCAATTTCATAACGTGAAATGTAAGGTAATGTGTTAGTAAACCAATTCTGTATATTCTTAACTATAAAATTTAACTTTACATATTTAAGCAAATAATGTTGTTATGTACATAAGTATAGAGTAGGTATAACACTTGCTATAATGGCATTGCAATAATAGGAGCATGGGAAAAGGTAATTGAATTTAAATTTAAACGTATTTCACTTAATTCAGACACATGTGTATGTATTTGACAGGAAAATATATTTAGAACAAATAAACTGTAAGGTTTAAAGTTTGTGATACTTATAATAAGATTCTAAATTGAATTGAAATTTTACGATTTTGTGATTGACCATGGAGCTTAAAATCAATCATTAATCATAATTCTATTGTAAAATTTTTAAGGGCTATAATGTGATTCTTATAAACTCCTTCTTAAGGTCCATAATGTGGTTCTTGTAAAGGAGTATTAACAAAAAAGTAGATTTTAATTTGTGATCTTTATTAAGTACAACTTTTAGATAACGATTCTTTGTTATTTGGTAAACTATTGCTGCTTTATGAGAAAGTTGCCTAATAAACATAACATTAAGTATAGCGTTCTCTAAATCGCCTTAAAAACTGTTATATTGTGCATTTTTTTTATTCTAAATTGGACAATGAAACTTCAAACTTATTACGCATGGCCTCTTACCTAATCAAAATCATAACCTTTTCAAACATTTTATCTTTTATAATATTATACCTGCATTTTACATAGATATAATGTATACGTTGTAGTTACTATTTTAAAAATTATCATATTTTTCAACGTACAAATTAAAATAAATTACAATGATTATTACTTAGTATATATAACATTAAAAATAAGACCATCAATTAATGACCTTTTCTTATTTTGAATCCACCGTACATTGAACACTTACTCTTATCTTTAATTTTAATTACCCTTGTCAGTTAAAATTCTTTCCCTTTGTCTTACACACAAATGTGTGTACCTTTATTTATTATTGTTAATTTTAACCGTAGTACCTTAGTTTTAAACAAAAACAAAAAAAAATTCTCAGTTAAAATAATAGAAGAGGAAAAATTATTGGTACGATAATTTTTAACATCACCTACGATAATATAAATATGTTTGTATACGTATGTTATATACCTGTACATTTTATGTGTTATACGTATAATATTTGGTAAATGACACGTGCTGGTTATTATAAAAATAATGTATGTATATAATATAATATGGTCAATGTCCGCATCCAGAATTTGTTATAAGGTAAGTTTTGTTCATTCAAAATTTGAATACAGGGGCAATATAACAATATAATTATAATAAACATCAAGGACAGTGTTGTCGATTTTGTACATTTGTTCTAACTTCATTATATTATACTATAATTAAATCTTGTTTATTTTCATTAATATGCATATTAGGTTCTGTTGTATATAATTTATAATTTCAGTGTGTTTAGTGAAATTTCCATATTATATGATTGCTGGTTATTCGTCATATATTTGTAATAATAAAAAAGGATTTCCGTAGTACATTAATAGAAAACTGTTCAAAATTAAAAGTAAAACAACATTAAATAAACATAGCAAAATACCGAAATTTTGAAGATAATTCAAATTTACAAAAATTTGAAGAAAAAGATGGTATGAAGGCATGTTTCAAACCTTCTTCTTATGTCTTTTTCAAATCGAAATTATTCTGACCCGATGCGCTTAATTCAGGGTTAAGATATTAAGTCACGAAATCTTAACAACTAACATTGATTATTATAATCTACTAGATTTTGTCTTACAGTAGATTTTATTACTATTATTTTTTTTTACTATCATTTCATAAAATTGAGATGGTAACACTGAATTAAAAATGGCTGAACTATAAAAAGTGTAGTTACGTTACATATGAAAATTATAAATTATATTGGATGAGAAAATTTAACTTAAAATTTTTTATTACATAGAAATTATAACAGTACTTTATCTACTTAAACATAATTACCTTTTCGATTCACATGCATTGCTTTGTGACTGAAAAATAAAGAAAAACAAAAACGCCGCAAGTTAAAAAATAAAAAAATTTAAGTTATAGTTTTTTTTTCTTGTTTTCTCCATCTTTCTCTCTCTAACACTCTTTCCCTTTCTATACGGCTGTTTGCTCGCATTAATTTTTTATTTATATCAGGGAAATAAAATTATATAAGGAATGTTGGAATTTTAAATATAATTACAAATTATTGTTATTATAATATAAAATTGTGTTCTTATGTTTACTCATTTTCATTTTTTATTAAATTGTACTTGAGGCTTACATTGAAGATGCTTTGTGTTCAATTATTATTATTATTATTATTATTATTGTTATTGCAGCCGAGTACGATGATATTAAACAATATTAGTGCATAATATAAACAATTACTCTGTTTAAATTTTAATTTTAAACATGAATAATATATATGAATTGTTAAATAACTAAGTATATTATGTACGTACACAGTTTATATACCTATACATACATATATGTATGTATGTACATTATGTATGAATGTATGATGAAAGTGGCAGGTTGCGCAATCGTTGCACATCATAAATTTTCTGAGCGATTTTCATGCTTGAAAAAAATAACCATCATGCGAGGTTAAAATCAAAGTAGAATAATTCATAAAGAAACATAAAAACAAACTGATAATAAATATTTTATAAACATCTTATAAATTGAACCATGATGGTTAAAAAATATTTAATTATTACATAACAGGAGTATAGGAATTTAGATTTATCATTTAATATAATCTACCAAACTTAATTGCTAACGTTACATAATATTATAGAATTTCCACTATTTGTACTAGGTAACTGTAAGTGTAAATTTTATTTTTTGAAGCTAAAATGGATGCAGATTGTTAGATTATATTTTGCAGTTTGTTTAGACTTCTATTTCAGTATTTTTCATAATAGATTCATTATTCTGTTATAGCGACATCTTTTAAATAATAGTTTTCAAATGGTAAAGATATCATTGAAGTTATCTTTTTTTTAAAATATGACAGTATCTTGCGACCAGTCATCACCTCTTCAAATTAATGGAAGGTTATTTCCAAATCGAATGCTGTTAATTTTGTAGGGGCAATTTTCATTAATTTTAATTAATTTTCAATTGATGCAATAATGATTCACTGGTAATGTTCCCTTTTGAGTTTCCAGTTTTAAGTGCATGCAAATGTAGGTGAACAATGGAGCATAGAAATAAGGGCAAACACACAAAAATATACTTACATATGTACATACATCATGTAGGTATATCAGTAAATTAAATACAAATCATTTTAAATGTTTACCCAAGATCTGTAATATATCTAAATATAATCTCAAAAAAAAGTTATAAAAGAAAGTTTGATTTTCCGCTTAGTTTATAGGTACAGTACAAGTCTTTATAGGCGGAAAAAAAGTTTAATTGCAAAATTGTTGTTAATTCTTTTCCGTCATCCAAGAGCACATGACTTGAGCGTCCCCAAAACCTATGGCGATTCAAATAATTTGATTCTTACAACGTGCATTTAGGTACAGCTTGAACTAGAAGCCTTAAAATTATGGTATGAAGTTACGTCTCAGTATATATGGTCGTACATAATTTATATACGAGCTGTTGTATTATACATATACGGTGTTCGAGACTTAATAGAGTTCCGTATGCAAAGTGATAGAATTAC